GGTCGGGGGGCTGCGCCACGGCGGCCGCCTTGGGCTCTCTTGCGCGCGGCCCACAGGGTCCAAGCAGCGCGCCGATCCTCGAGCTGTTGTCAACCACACAGCCCCACCCAACCCTCCCAGCATCACCCCGGTGCAGAGGCACATCAGCGCGCTCTCTCTATTCCTCCTCCAATCCCCACTGTCACCCCCCCACACACACACACACTCACTCGTACACGCACACGAACACTCACACACACACACACACACACACACACACAGAGCAATGTGTGCACAACTCACCACTGGGACTCAACGTAGCTGATGGGGTAGGTGGTGCTGGTGGCCGCGTGCACGATGAGCGGCCCCAGCGCCGCGCCGTCGGCCATGACGGCCGCGGCCATGCCCCCGACGCTGCCCGACCCCGGCACGCCGGCGCCGCCCAGGCCGCCGTCGCTGATGGCGGGGTCGAAGTAGCCGTCGATGTGCACGCGCGCGCTGGTGGCGGCGGCGGTGGACACGACCGCGGCGGCGACCATGTCGGCGGGCACGACATCCCACACTGCGCGGGAGCAGGCGTGGTGGGGTGCAGTGGGGTGTGGGTGGGTGGGGTGTGGTGGGGTGTGGTGAGGTGTGGTGGTGGGGTGTGAGCGTGCGAGTTTTAAAGGGACAGCAACAAAGGCTGCGCGCTGGGGCAGGCGAGGGAGGGGCGGTCACGCTACTTGGGAGCGTGCACTTACACTGTGTGTATGATGCACGCCAGGGGTTGAAGTCGTTGGCAAAACCAGGCACAAACGACAGCATTACGCCAACAATTGTGCGACAATTCTAGAGATTGTGCTCAGTCCTTGTGCGCACAATCCAACACACACACACACACACACACACACACACACACACACACACACACGCACACGCACACGCACCCGCACCCGCACCCGCACCCGCACACACACACAGACCCTCACCGTTTGTGGGCATCATCGCAAAGGAGTCCAGCGTATCGTACAGCCCCACGGCCTGCGCCAGCGCCTGCCCGCCCGGCCCCGCCAGGCTGCCGCTGTAGCCGGGGTAGGGCGCCCCTGCGAGGCCGCAAACCATGGATGGGCGCACAATGGCCACGGGCAGCCCGCCACTGCAGGGCGGGGGCGTGGACGGTGGTGGCGGTGATGATGGTGATAGGAGGGGGGAGGGGCGTCCTGACCCATGTCACATGCAGGAGCCCGAGCTGACAAGGGCGCTTACAAGCTGCACCGCGGCACGCAGTGGGAGGCGAAACGCTCGCTGCCCGCGCGTCGGCGGGCGCAGAGCGCTCAGTTGCGAGGCGAGGTTGGGCAGTCGACACGGCGGTGCTGCGCGGGCAGGCCTGCTCTGCACATGCGCGGTAAGGTGTGTGTGTGTGTGTCTGCTCACGCGTGGAACTGGGCCACCAGCTTCTCTGTGAGGTTCTTGCCCAGGGTGTACGTGTTGGGGAAGCCCCTGCGGGACCACGGGGCGCGGAGGCGGCCGGGGTGGGTCCACAAACGCGGCAGGGGCGCCGCGCTGGGCGGGCGCTCTGGCGGCAGCGGCGCCTTGGATTCGTGCACGGAGAGGCCTCTCTCCACCCTCCTTTGCCATGCGTCCAGCTGCCCGCCCCCCCCTCAGGCGCCCGGGCCACCCCTGCTGCCGCTCATGCGCGCCGTCCATTCCCAATTGTCCATCCCCCGGCCTTTCGGCCCCTCTTCCCTGCGTGCGTGGCCCCTTTCTCTCACACTCACACACACACACACACACACACACACACACACACACACGCGCGCGCGCACACACAAAGCAGCATGACAGCAGCCGCAGCGCCAGCAGCAGCTAAAGGGCGGGGGCGGCACCCACCACATGTCCAGGTACATCTGTGCGCGCACGTTGGCTGACTCTGGTGTGAGGCTCATGAGGTCCTCCACCAGGGAGCCGCTGTCAACCTTTGGTTTGCGGGGAAGGGTGTTGGGGGGTTGGGCGCGGGGAGAGCGGGGAATGGCATGGGCCGTCCCAAAAGGAGGGCAGCGAGAGGGCGGATGCGTTTGAGAGGAGGCAGGGCAGGGGCTGCCAGCGCGCGACCCACTCCGGCCCTGTAAGCGCGGCTGTTCACGCCTGCTGATACTCCCCCCCGCCACGGACGCACATCCCAGCAACACTCCCGCGCGCAGCAGCTGAAGTCCTTTAAGCGCACGACGGCGACGTGCGCACGCGCTCGCGCCCGTCGCAGCCGCGCCGCCAATCATAGCGCCCCCCTGGCGCCCACCTCCTGATTGCCAAACATCAGAGGGTAGATGACCTCGTCCACGCTCGCGCCCGGCGGCTGGTTCACGTTCGCGTGCGCCGCCGACAGGTGCACCATCGCCCGCAGCCGCGCCATCCGCGCCGCGAGCAGCAGCAGGCGCTTCGTGCCGAGGTAGTTGCTGCTCAGCGTGCGCTGCACGTCGGCCTCGGCCTCGATGATGGAGGCGCAGTGGACGACGTGCTGCACGTCACTCGTGAGGGTGGCCGCGTCGTCGGGGGACAGGCCCATGTTCTCCTGGGTCAGGTCGCCCTCCATAAGCACCACCTGGGCGGATTGCAGGGGGATGGGAAGTACATGGCAGTACGGTACGCGGCCGGGGCAGGCAGGCTGGCGGATGGGGAGGGGCGGCCTGGCCGGCGCGTGGCGCGAGGGAGGGGGGGGCGGCGCGGCGCGCACTTCCGCGCCGGAGGGCGGGTTGCCGCGGGCGGCTGGACGGCCGGCGGCGGGCGCCGGCCGCAGGCGCCTGCGTGGCCTCGAACAGATGGCGCACGCAGCCGTCAAACCAACACCTTCGTCGATGAACGCACCGCTTGCGCGCTGGGCCCAGGCACTCCACACGCCCCAACTGCGGGGCCGCACACAGGTCGGGCCGCCCGACCTCTGCCCCCCCCCTTACCTTGGACACCAGATCCCCCTTGTCCCTGATTTGATGGAATAGCCCGCTGTGCAGCAGCCGCTGCACACGCTCGCGCGCGCTGGAGCCGCGCTTGCCGCGCGCCAGCACGTAGATGCGCCCGACGTTGGTGGTGCGCAGCAGCAGCTCCACCACGAGTGACCCGATGAAGCCGGTCGCGCCTGCGTGCGGCACGCAAATGGGGGGCGCAAGGCGCGAAGTCGCGAAGATCGGTCTGTGGCCGCGCGGCGCATGGGGCAGGGGGCCGTGCGGCCGGCGGGCACGCCCGCGCTGCCGGTTGCCCGGGCGACACCTGGTGAGAGGGGCGGGAACGCAGCAACCCCTGGCAGGGTCCGAGCCTGCATGGTACCGCGCAGGGAGACTCAAAACGCTCCAAAGCGTCGATTACTTCTGTCAAGAGGACCCCGGACCCGCCAGCACTGCATACATCCCCCGTGCTGCCCGAGTGGGCCCCACCTGTCACGAACACCGTCGCGCCCTCAAACTCTTTGCGCACGGAGTAGCGCGATATCTGGCCAAAGGGCGAGAAGTCGTCTCCTTCGCCTCCCAGACCCAAAGACTTTAGCGCTTGATCGGCGCGCTCCGCCAAAGGGCTGGAGTCGTGGTCATGGTCGGCCATCACGGCCTGATTTTTGACGAAGTCCTACCCCCCACTGAAGGATGATCTGCTGGCGATGGGTCGTGCACACTTCGATCGGATTACGAGCAGATCCAATCAGAACAACGTAGTTTGGGTTGAATTGCTCTTCTGTTGAAATTGCCAGCCCTGAGCCGCCTCAGGGGGCCACGATGGTGAGCGAGTGACGAAGGCGGCGCTGTTGAGCAGCCACGACTCCAACTCCCAACTGCAGTTGTGTGTGTGCGCACGTTTGCGCTTGCCTGCACGCAAGAATGTAGCAATGTGTTGTCCAAACCTCAAGGGCAGTTGGACTCCCTTGGCAGAAGATCAGGGCATCGCAAGGCACACCCAGCACTGCTGCTGACACATCAATGTGTCCATGGGTGCCGCTATGTTGACTCTTGTCGGCAAACCCCTTGCGACCACTGGGTTTATGATCATACTTGATCCAGCTTGGTGGGCAGCTGATGAAAACCCTCTATCGTGTTTGCGGCTTGCTGAGCACACCAGCACTCAGCAAAAAAGTATGGGACCCTGGCACAACCTCTTGGAAAGCTTGATTACCATCATGGAGGGGCACGGCCCTGGAGGAGGTCACCAAGCTGTCAGCTGCTCGTAATTGATAGACTCACACACGAACCTGTGGTGAAGCGTGTTAGCGGGCCGTTGCAGGGTTTGAGCGCAAACGCTGCTGGACCAAGAGCGCACACGCTGCTGGACTGCCAACACGCTCTGCATGCCCGTGATCCCCGCCATCGCACCTGGCGGGGCATCACGCCATGGCCCACCTGTGCATGCGCGCCTCGAACTGCCCTGTGTACACAAAGTGCCGCCACAGGTCCTCCTTGCCGCTCCCCAGCACCTGCGCCGAGGGCGGTGCAAGGGTTTGCAGGGTCACGCACCTGCCTGTTTTGCATGGGCCCGTGCGCAGCCCTGGAAGCGCGGGGCGCGACCAATTGCAGACGGGAAACAGACATGTGCGCTTGCGTGTGTGTGTGTGTGTGTGTGTGTGTGTGTGTGTGTGCGGCCATACACACACGCACGCACGCATGCACACATGCATCCATGGGATTTACAGGGCACGGCCAACGGGCGTCCCACCGGCCCACCTTCAGGTCAGGGTTCTCTTCCACGTAGTAGTCAAAGTCGAAGCAGCGGCCGCCCCGTGCGCGCATCTCCAGCACGCGCGGCGCCTTGAACCTCGCGGGGTCCTCCGCGTACTCGTTGGCGGCCAGGGCAGCCGCTGACGTCAGGTTGTGCGGCCGCGCCCCGCCGGCGCGCTCGCGCTCGGCCGCTCGCTCGGCCTGGAATTGTTGAAGAGTGTATGTGTGTTAGGTGCGAACGGAGGAGGGGTGTGAGTGGCTGGCAGATGCGCTAGCCGAGGGGGAACAAGTGTGGTCAGCCACTGTGCTGGGAGCCGCCTGGCCGCAGCACGAGGGGCACGCACCTGCCCTTGATTCAGCTGGCATCCCTGTGGCTGCTCAGGCCTGCGCCACTCCGGCGCTGCCCTCACGACGTCATCGCATGTGCGATGAGGACATCGGCCGAGGCCATGACCGGCCCTCTCCGATGTCTTACCCTCCAAGTCCACGCAAATCCCCACTCCCACCACCATATGCCTGCCTATCTGCCCCCTCCCCAAAGCCCCTCGCTCCGCACCGCGCCCCTATACCCCCACC